CAGTATCAGTAGTAGTGGCATTAACATCACACTGATACTTGTTGATCAGTTCCTGTAGACAATGTAGCTTACCATTATAAGCAGCTAAATGAGCTAGTGTGTACTTGTTATTGTCAGTGTGATTAGTAATATCCACACTATACTCCTGACTGTACCATTCCAGTATATGAGTATGAGCTTCCTGTGCTGCTGCATGTAATACTGAGAAACCAGTGTTATTAATATTGATAGGCTCAAGCTTGTATTGTTGTATCAGTAATTGTACTAGATTAAGATTACCTGATAGACAGGCATCCATGACACAATTACTACCACCAGTATCAGTAGCAGTGACATCGCACTTCATGTCATCTATTAGATAAGTCACTAATTGAATATTACCACTCTCACAGGCTAAATGCAATGCTGTGCTACCACTTTCAGTCTTACACTGTTTGAGAATATCTTCAATTAAGCCAGTTTTACTTTTTAACGTTAAATGATTTATAACGTACTTGACCAAATTCAATCTTCCTTTTAAACATGCTAAGTGAATAGGAGCCATTCCCTCATCATTCACAGCACACAGATCTAACTGATGATTCTCTACCAGGTGCTTGAGTATTGGAAGAGAGTTACTGTACTGACAGGTAATGTGAAGAGCTGTTGATCCATTAGAAGTCTTAGCTGCTACATTACACTGAGGAAGACTAGTCAGATAAAGTACAACAGGAACATGACCTCCTTGACATGCTTTATGAAGAACTGTATTGCCAGTATCAGTAGTAGTGGCATTAATATCACACTGATACTTGTTGATCAGTTCCTGTAGACAATGTAGCTTACCATTAGAAGCAGCTAAATGAGCTAGTGTGTACTTGTTATTGTCAGTGTGATTAGTAATATCCACACTATACTCCTGACTGTACCATTCCAGTATATGAGTATGACCTTCCTGTGCTGCTGCATGTAATACTGAGAAACCAGTGTTATTAATATTGATAGGCTCAAGCTTGTACTGTTGTATCAGTAATTGTACTAGATCAAGGTTACCTGAGGAACAGGCATCCATGACACAACTACTACCATATAAGGTATCAGTAGCAGTGACATCGCACTTCATGTCATCTATTAGGAAAGTCACTAATTGAATATTACCACTCTCACAGGCTAAATGTAATGCTAGGCTACCACTTTTAGTCGTGTGTTGTTTGAGAATATCTTCAATTAAGCCAGTTTCACTTTGTAACGTTAAATGATTTCTAATGTACTGGACCAAGTTCAATCTTCCTTTTAAACATGCTAAGTGAATAGGAGCCATTCCCTCATCATTCACAGCACACAGATCTAACTGATGATTCTCTACCAGGTGCTTGAGTATTGGAAGAGAGTTACTGTACTGACAGGTAATGTGAAGAGCTGTTGATCCATTAGAAGTCTTAGCTGCTACATTACACTGAGGAAGACTAGTCAGATAAAGTACAACAGGAACATGACCTCCTTGACATGCTTTATGAAGAACTGTATTGCCAGTATCAGTAGTAGTGGCATTAACATCACACTGATACTTGTTGATCAGTTCCTGTAGACAATGTAGCTTACCATTATGAGCAGCTAAATGAGCTAGTGTGTACTTGTTATTGTCAGTGTGATTAGTAATATCCACACTATACTCCTGACTGTACCATTCCAGTATATGAGTATGACCTTCCTGTGCTGCTGCATGTAATACTGAGAAACCAGTGTTATTAATATTGACAGGCTCAAGCTTGTATTGTTGTATCAGTAATTGTACTAGATCAAGATTACCAGAGACACAGGCATACATGACACAATTACTACCATATAAGGTATCAGTAGCAGTGAAATTGCACTTCATGTCATCTATTAGGAAAGTCACTAATTGATTACTACCACTCTGACAGGCTAAATGTAGCGCTAGGCTACCTTCATTGTCAGTAGAGTGTAGTAAACTAATGTATTGAGGATACAGACTGGTGATATGCTTGATAAAATGAGTATGACCTTGAAGTGATGAAAAATGAAATATATTCCAATTTTTGTTATCTGTTAGACTCAGACTACACTTGTGATCCTTGGCGTATAATTCCAGTAGTAAAATATTCCCAGATTCAGCAGCATAATGAATTGGTAGCTTACCATTACTGTCAACTTGATGAGGATCTAACTGATAGGTAGTTATTAATTCTTTAACAAGAGATAAGTTAAGAGACACTGAGGTATAATGTAAAGCAGTGAGGCCATTCTTATCAACTGCAGTAGGAGACAAACCTTGTTCAGTAATAAGATACTGAACTAAATCAAAGTTACCACTCTGTGCAGCATGATGTACTAACGTGCGTCCTTCATTATCTGTTTCATTAATATCACAATGCTGTACCTCAATGAGATAATGAGTGATATCAATATGACCATGACGACAAGAATGATGCAGACATGTCATACCATCATTATCAATGATATTAGGATCACTGTTATGATTATTAATAAGATATTTAACAGAATTAATACTACCTGACTGGCAGGAGTAGACTAATGATGTATGACCATAAGTGTCAGTATCATTAGCACTGAGATTATACTGAGATATGATATAACTTAATACACTAGTAGAACCTGACCAGGCAGCATAATGCACTGGAGACATACCATCATTATCTAATGTACAATTGATATTATATTCTTCTAATGCTTTCACTAGTAATGTACTTCCACTGCGTGATGCATAATGAAGTAATGACTCACCATTAGTCGTGGTAGCATTGATGTCAAAGTGGCAATTAATAGCTTTCTTGAGTAGTGAAGTGAACACTTTTATTCTTTTATTGCGTATAATGAAATTGATGTTATTTTTAATTTTATTACCACTAACAATCTCAATATTTGATGCATCACATAGTGCAATTAGCTTACTATACATGGTAGTGGCTTTAATAGCAATGGATGCAAGACTTGCAAAGTGTAAACATGAATTACAATTATTATCATTAACTAATAATGCTTCATTACCTTGAATACTAACAATATACTCAACAACTGATGATGAAGCATACCATGAAGCAATATGAAGTGGAGTCTTACCATATCTATCCTTTACATCAATGGATAATTGATATCGATTTAAAAGATACTTAAAAAGCTCAACATTATTACTCATAGAAGAGTAATGCAGAATGCCAAATCCATAACAATCAGATGAATTTGGTTTGAAGAGGTCTACAGCTTCCAGCTTATCAATTAATGCTACCTGCCCACTTTTACAAGCTAACAATGACAAAGAAGCATTATGGGAATTAATTTGAGAAATATTACAATTTTTCTCAATAAAAAATTCCACTAGGTCAGAATGGCCCCCCATTGCTGAGTACAGTAATGGAGTGTTATTGCTATTGTCTGGTTGATCAGGAGGAACGTCACACGTGTCTACTAGATATTGTACTATAGATAAGTGGCCTTTATAAGATGCCATATGTATACTAGATACACTATTATCATCACCTTCATTAGGATCAATACCATATTGATGGATGAGTAGTTGGAGGATCTCAATGTGTCCACTATATGATGCAGAGTGTAATGGAGTCCAACCATGAAGACCACGATATGTGCTGTAACCAAACTTGCTAAGAAGCCATTGTACTTCATCTTTTAATCCTCTCCAAGCTGCTTCATGTAATGGTGTACTGGTATTCTCATACCATAATCGATCACATATATCTAAAAGGAATTATCAGTTATAAGATGTCAAATGACATTAAAACAGCATTATAATAGTGAAAAATAAAATTGGTTATTACACACACTCATACTTACCAATATCTAAAGGTGACTGCTGCAACTCTTGTGATGCTGAGAACTATTAGAACAAAATATATTGATATAATATCAAGATATAATTACAAACCTTTCTTAGATCATATTTATAATCACCACATGTTAGTTCAGTGATAGCAATACTAGCTAACTGTTCCTGTATCTCAGTAGATAGAGGAAACAATGCAGAGTATAAGTAATCAGGAATATTATATAGCAGCTGTAGTGAGCCAATACGAACGAAACTAAAGTACAGATTAACGTTAGGAATATTCAGTTCTTTTGGTATTGCTCTACGAAAGAAGAAAAGGTCAGCTGGTGTGTAGTCATCACGATCAACTTTGGCAATCATTACTCGTGTACCAGGAGGAACATCTTTTATACCAAATTCTAAAGCATTAGCATCAGTTAATAAGCCACCGCTGTTAAGAAAATAATCCTTCAGTTTCTCCTTATAGTCTGACCATGTCCTCTTTAATGAGCGATTATTAGGCAGGAATACATTAACAAGTTTAACTATTAGTTCATAGTTGAACCATGATATGTACTTTCGTTGTAAAATCTTAAAAAGATCTTTTATTGTTTGAATGTTATTAAACTCTTCTGTAATTTCTTCAGTTTGATTATTTTTGTTTGGACCAAGTAGAGCAGCAACATGTGTCTCAAGATAATCAATAATATCTGGAAAGAGTTCAGGTTTAAAAGCATCTCTCGTTTCTTTAAGAATATCAGAAAACTCCAATTGTAGCTCATAGATCTCATCCAAAAGACGAACATCTCTTACAGGAAATGCATAAATTGAAGCATCTAACAATAAAAATTATAATACTTTTGTTAATAAAAAGTAATGAAGTCTTTTGACACTAAATTTGTCAAAATTCACACTCTAAAACCTAATTGTGTCATGTCTGCTTATCACTATAGACACCAGATGTACAATAGTGAATACTATAGCTGTTATTATCCTCTATTGTGATAGCTATAGACATATTTGTGGAGAATTAAATTTTGCAAGTCTGTAAATGCATCCAAAAGGACTGCAAAATTTACATAACTGTCAAAACTTAATCTGAAATTTTTAAGGATTTGAAATTTTTCTCTGCAAAACTTACCAGCTTTATAGTGCTTACTACAACCATGTGACTGCATATACACTATTCGTCATATATACACAAAAATTTAACATCTCTTTTGCTATCAAAATTCATGCTAAATGTATTAGTTCTGCTTGTCATTACAGCTTTGAATTAGTACGGTCAAGAGTACATGATGGTACAATATACAGAATGTGATTGGTCTATTTATGTATTATATCTTATACCAGGTGTGTGGGTGCATGGTTTCCACAGAGAAACTTTTAGTGTCTAGCAGGAGTTATAAAGTGGATTTCACTTGTGTTTGACACTGAGTATTGAGTGGAGATCACATGCGCCTAATAAACCACGCACGGAAAATCAACTCACACATCAAGCAATGTTCAAACGGAAGTGTAATCCGCAATATGCCTGCAGACAGTGTGGAATTTCACAGTTTACATAAGAACACTACTGCAATAGTAGCCTTACTATAACTACTATCAGGGCCGTAGGAAGAAATGGGAGTGGTACGGCTTCTTGCTGCGCATGAAGCGTATGGCAAAATTTGACCACCTAATTAATTATTCATAAGGGGTGTGGTCAATTAATTATCGCAATTTCATTGTTATCATCAAGGTTATCGTTATTGATATTTAGAAGTAAAACCTTGGAAAGAACAGTGTACTACTTTTGTTTTACCAAAAGAGTGCTGTGGGAGTCACAGGAAGGTCAGGTCAGGCAAACTCGAAGAAGAAGAGCTGCTTCTACTACTACAAGCCATGCTGATGCCTGATGCTGAGGGTGTGTCTGGTTTTTATTGATTAACTTAATATAAACACCCCCTCGACGACATTTTCGATTTTTGGTCTGGCCAAAACCGTAGCAACCATACCGTCTGCTACGGCCCTGACTACTATGGTACTATAAGTAGGACTAGGCAAATTATGCTAGCATAATTTGGAGCATAATAGGGCAAGTTATTATGCTGGCTTAATTGGAGCATATATAATGGGTCAAAATTATGGCAGATGGTTATACAAGTACTAGTACAATAACTTAGGCTATTATATTTTCCAGTGACTCAAAGTCTTTGGAAACATTTCCAGATTCTGGCATTATTCATCATAATTATAATCTATTATTTGTTAATTTATTATTAGCATTTGCTATGATCGTTAAAGAAAAGCAGATACATACATGTAACTTGATAGTCGATACTTGAATAAAGCATAAAGTATGAGCATAAAATGAGCATAATTGGATTTATTTCAAAGCATAATAGGATGAAATTTGGAGCAGTGTCTAAAAGCATAATAGGCAGAAATTGAAGTATAATTTGCCTAGCCCTAACTATAAGTGGTCTCAGGCTAGGCCCTTGACCATGAAGCTATGTACCCATAACCACCTCCAGACAGGAAGGAATCATTAATACTGTATAGCGGGAGATTTTCGAGGAAATAAAATTTGGCAAATTTGGCATTTTGATAGCCATTTGCCAAAATAAAAACCCACCATTTTGAGTCATTATATGCGTGCTCAATGGCACGTGGCCACAAATTTGCCAAATTAAAATTTGTAGGTCACCAAAATTTAGCAATTCGCCAAAAATTAGTCCCTCCAAATTTCCCGTTATACGGTATTATGTAATGTGGCAGATTGAAAATAAATAAATAATTATTAATTACACATCATTATTTCTCCATGAGTTTACCTGTTGTGCTTTCTCCCCCAATAGATGCTGATTGGGGATGTTCACGAGCTATCTCTTCAGCTAATGCAGTGTCACCTCCTCCTCCTTTAACAGCTACACACACTCTCCTTCAACATGGAGAACCATAGAACTCATAATTGTAATCCTTCTTTAACCAATAATCTAAAACCTTGCGCAGACATGACTCACAACTGCTACCGCAATCAGTTTCAATGATGTCAATAGTATCTGGTCTTATGTACAGTGAGTTAGCAAAATGCTTCCAACGTGAAGCAATGGGTTTAACTTTATCATACACGACATTAAGATCACCAATGCCTAGAAAATACAGATCACAAAACTGTCGCAATCATAATCGTATCAACTCACAGAGCACTTTGCTGCAAACATTTTCAAAGATCTGGGTCATAGTTTGTGCGTCTTTTGGCAAAGGCCAAAGAGACATGCCCAGCCCAGGCCTAGCCTACGCATTTGGGTGGTGGGGCTGCATTAGTGAAAGGTGTGGTTAGCTTATGAATGAATAAAACAGATAGATCTCCAGTAGCTTATCTCAGTAGATCTCTAAGTGTATCTGCAGCTCACAGGCTATGCAGGTAATGCAGTACTGTACAATATGCAATAGATCAATAGTACAATTTTATATACTTTTATTAGTCCTCATCTGACAGAAGAGGAGAATATATCATTGTATGGTAAATGTTACAATCCTAATGGACATGGTCACAATTACACTGGTTAGTGTATCTAGATAACATACATATGTACATTTAAAATAGCTCATGCAGTAAGTTTAAATTATGATTTTATTATGATTCCAATTAAAAACTGTCTGAAAAGTACATTGCTTTTTTGTTAATTTATTTACATCTCTCTCCAAGAGTA